TCGCGTTCAGCGGGGACACAATCTGGGTGGGTATGGCCCTTGCGGAAACATCTACAGAAAAAGGTGCTAAAAACAAAAGATGAGAGAAAGGCAATAATATCGAATGTGATACTTCCATGTATTTCCTAACATGGCGCCTAGGAAGAAGGAATTTTTTTTGTAAATTACGTGTCGTTATTTAAATGATGATGTATCGTGTTATGAATAATCACTTCGATATTTCATTTATAATTAAGGGCGATGAGAAAACAAGTGTAATTTCTCTCCCATCATCCAGAAGCAGAGCTCAGCTCGGTGCTCCCTAACGAAGAAGCCATTCAACTTTTAGAGTTATAAGTCAATAACGACATATAATTGTATTAATGCCTAGGGACCGGGAGACTGATTCTTGCTCTGCAATTTTGGGACTTGAGCGTTTTTCCGGTCTCTGGAGGAGCCACTCACGGAAAGAAAATTCTACTCAGAATGAGTGTGCCACCCACTAAAGTATGGGACCAAATAAGGGTCAAATTGTTTTAATGGGATACACTGTTAAAAATTTTTGTCTGAATTTTCAATGCCTAATCCCGGAAATTTTTGTCGTATTCAATTTCGACTGAAATTTCAGGAAATCTTGTCATTGAAAAATTAAATATTCCATTAATATTCTGTTTGAATGATCGGAAAATCAATAAAGTACTTGATTTTTCAGTCCAATTATTTTCCGTAAAAATTCAGAAAAATCAGGCAAATTTATGAAAAAATTGAAAATTCACGTAATTTTGTTTTTGAAAATTCATGTTTCATTGAAAATTCAATCAAGTTGTGAAATTTCCATCTGACTCTCACTGAAAACTCATGAATTTCCTTATTTCATGAATTTTCATTATTTTCTATTTTTCACATAAATCCGATTCAATGTCACTCTCATGAGATTTACTGTTATATTTTCCACGAATTTTCAAAAAAATTCTAACAGTGTACCCTTATTGAAGGAAATCCCAAAAAGAGTAACGTGAGATGCAAAAATTAGGCTGCTCCATTCGAATTATTAAATTGATATGGTATGAATAAAAAAACCATAAGAATTGTTTGGTGACCCCTGTTTGGACTCGCGGCTAGTATCTAGCACATTATTTTGTGGAGGAATTCGTACGGAATGTTGTATTTATCTCCACGTGCAGCTTACGATCGGGAGTCAAACGCAGTGAACTTCCAAAAGGTTTTGTCTGCATAATAGCATAGTTATTTTATCTTTTAAAAAAATCCATGTAACGTTTTCTGTCACCGATTCATTTGGCTGTAATTTAATTCTATTCATAGATATTACTATAGTATAAAATATAATGATAGTTTTTAATATGATTTGCCGTTAGAAGGACGGTGGCGGTATACAGTAGTATACATATATACCTGTAATAATAATAATAGTAACAATAATGAAATGTAGCTATAACTATAATTATCTTTATAGCTATACGTATGGCTATACCTACGGAATTTCAAATGCTAAGAAACGAAAATATTCTGAACACACACTAACAAAAAAGTAGTGTAAATCACATTCCATTTTGATTGAAATTTTTAAATTTGTCCATGAATTTTAATAATTTCAATAATTTACCCATTACAACAACAGGGATATACCATGCATTTCATGTATTGATGAGGAGTGAATAAATTTTTTATAGAAAAAAAATATAAGGCCCAATGGGTATATTTACAGCGCGCGGAAAGCGCAAGATACCCTAGTTATTAATAAATTAGCAATGTGCTTCGGAATGGTCATTTTGCACACCATTTTTTTCTATCGTATATAATTTGTCGTTTCATATAATTTTGATCAATTGTGTTCGATTTGCTGTGAAAATTATTGTAGAAATCAAATGAACGAGAATAATGCTATCTATATTATTTTTACCATTTAATAAACTGGTATTAGAAAACTTTTTTTCATCCATAATTAAATGAATTTCAGTAGCGAAGTGGTAAAAGGAGATAAGTTAATTTTGACTTTCGATCAGTTTTCAATCAATATCTCGGAATCTAAGGAAGATAGTAACATTTTTGTTATAACCTTTTTTATGGAGCCGATTGAGTGCTACAACAAATGTGATTACAAATATTTCACTATCTCCCTTAGTTTCGGAAATATTCCTCAAAAACTCAACTGGGAGATAAGTCGACTTATCTGCGTTAACCATTTCACTACTGATTTGAAACATTAAATTTAAAGAAACCGTGGGAATACTGATGGTCAGGGAAAAATCAAACCAACGGATGTAGCTATCGTAATGATCTTCTATCTCTGACAGGATGATATTGAAACAAATATTTTAAGCTATGATTGAATTAATTGAAAGTATGATATCCAAAGATATCTCCGGAATTCTCATTTTCAAAATGAACGAAATTTATAAAGATTCTGTAAATTAAAGCAACGATTATTACTAGCGCTTTCATCTTCGAACTCGGCCAAACGGACATCCAAATAATTTTTCTAAGCCATCATTCAATTAATTAAGAAAATTTTTTCGTCATCGTGGTATACAATCAATTTTCCGATGTTGTGTGATTCAATGACATGGATGGAATTCAGATTCTATTTCGTAAATTGAAATGCATAATAACAAAATGATATTGTGATAGAAAATGTGCGAATGGTACTTGAATCATTATTTCATGTTTTTTGAGCGCATAATAAAAAAAAAATATTACGGCTCTATTTTTCCACAAAAAATTCCATCCGTGAGCGATCAGGCACTGAGCGGTATTGGCCTCAAACCATGCGATATTAGCCACACTGGCTGGAGCGGTATTGGTAACATCGCCCGAATTTGAGAAAACATTCTCTAATTATTAATTTAACGATGAAATAAAGATGAAAAAAGTAGCTTTCGGTGTCAAATGATGTGAAAAAGAATTACAAAGCGATTAATCTTAATTTTATGTGATGATAATGCTATTATCATAGTGAAAAACCTCACGTACTAGTGCAGAAAAATCACATCGTAAGGCCCTGAAAATCCTGGGGTGCTACTTTTGTCATTTAAAGGGGTGAAAAAACGAAAATTTTCATAAGAATTACGTACCCACAGTAGAGTTCTCAGATTGAGTAGGAGACTATGTGAGAAAAGTAAGTGGTTGTGGAGAAAATCAGGTGAGCGGTATTGGCTGCTGAGCGGTACAGGCATCGCCTCCCCTAGCACTTATAGTCGTTGAAGAATATACAATTATACAAACAGCTTTGACCGACTGAATAGGAATGCCGAATCCTCACGATTTCCTGGAATGAGCAGACTTCCGGTAAGCGCTGCAGGAATCGCTAGTTTAGGCCAGTCAAATAAGGACTTTTTTTTGGCTGAAATCAAGGATGATAGAACAAGGATAAAAATCGTAGCATATCATGCGGAAAAATTATATGAAACACATACTAAGTTTTTGGGATTCTAGCGGACCGGAAAATTGTTTTTAAAAAATTAAAAACTGCAAAATTAAGCGTCCGCGCGACCTTTTCCGCTTTACGTTGGCGAAACCGTAATAGATAGGATAGAAATCCATAGAACATGATTTGTAGAGCATTGAATTTCCTATAAAAGAGTCAGTTGAATCACAAAAAGTCCTGGACGAGGGGCTAGTAACTCCTGAAATCATGGTGTCACTTGCTGGTGAAATTAATTTGGAGTCACCCATGAAATCACTGAAATCGCCGACCTCAGTGAAATCATAGAAATCTCGTGATTCCCATTCATGAAGTCATTTCTTCAAGTCACAATGAAATCATTTGTAGTCAATGAAATTCATGAAATCACGAGGGAATCCCTCGACTGAAAATACACCACTCTCTACACTCGTTCTAGAATTTTTGGTTCGAGAATTTTCTGGTTCATACGCGCGTATTGATGGTTACAAAAGAGATATAGGTGTTTTGTGTTGTTGGTACATTTTAAAGACAAATTCAAATACGTTACTGTCGCAGCCAATGACGTCTCAGGGCTATGTTGATATTAAACAATATCGAAAAACAATTTCACCTCCAACGTTTGATGATGAAGGGCACTTGAAAGTTGACCAAAAAATTTTGAGAGAAGTAAAAAAGTACTTCTAGTATTGTCCATTCGTTTATTAGAAATAATAATAATTTGTAAGTGTTCGTTAAATGTTTTATGATAATAAAATCAATCGTTTTGGTAAATAATTATTTGATCTCGATTATTCTTTCAATTTCGGGTCATTGAGGTTTCAGTGATTTCAATTACGTAGAAACCATTGCTTTCAGTCAAATAGAGTCTATGAAATCATAATGAGTCATGAAATCACTGGAAATCATGCTCGAAATCAATGAAATCGTGAATTCAATGCAGTCATTGAAATCACTGATGTCGTCAGGTGAAATCGACTGCAGTCTGCAGTCGTGGTGTCACTCGATCTTGAAGTTATTAGCCCCTCAGTCCTGGATCTAAGTGAAATTCTTACTTATTCTAAGAGAATTTTCTGTAAAAATTGCAGAAAAAAGTTCTGGTCCTCAGTAATTTTTCCTGAAATCCCGAACCTATTATACATACTTAAATTAAGGCGCATTTTCACTGATTTGAAGTCAATTTTGGTTCTGGAATTCAGGACCTTAAGGTTCTTGAATTGAAATTTTGTCTCCTCAAATTATTTTCGTTAATTATAGTGTGACGTCACCACTTAGGCAACGCAAGAAAACTTGGATACATTTTTTTCCTCTGCTGAAACAAAAAACAATCAATCTCCATATTGATCCCGAAAATTGAACCATCATCCTGTCATCACTTGAACTCATTCCCCATAACTCCCGAGTTCATTCTTTAGCGGTCACCCCGTATAAGCACCTGGCGATCCTCGCCGTGCCCTGCCGCCCCCCTCCTCCCACTCCCACCCGATTCCTCCTGAACAGTGGGGGAGAAGACACGATGCCGTCGACTTGGTTCTTGCCCGATGCCACTCATGCACAGTTTTATAGAGTTTCTGTTCACTCGAGCCTCTCCACGCTCGTTTGCTCTTGCAACCACAAAAACCGCCTGAAGCCTCAAAATTCCACCTATCCATTATCCTTGAAAACTCAAATTCCTCGGGCAGATGAATATATAAAGCTCAATCACCAAGGAATCTCGCTCATCAGTAAAAAAATTGCGAAAAATTAAAAAATTAAAGAAATTCGCATGAACCGTAGTAAATCGAACTTTATTAGTTAAAGAGGTGCAGCAAGGTGTGGCGAGAGTGAGAGAATAAACTTCACTCGCCCCTCTCGTACTTCTCCAGTGCCCATTCCCTCTCTCCCTGAGCCTTAAAACGCTCTCCCCACTTCAATTTACCTTGTACCTTTCCCTCCAGCCGTAATTCCAAGTCTCGTCGGCTCGAGTTCGGTCCATTTTGGTGTTTCGTGTCGTGCGGTAAACAACACCAACGTCAATTTCCACCTGAACCTGTCGAAATCTTAGCCTTAAGAAAAATAAAAATCAACATTTATGATTTATATTCTTGTGTACAATGTGAATGTTGGTTCACCGATGATAATCCATTCAAGTGTCAGTGATCCCCAGTGAATCAGGTGTTTTTTTTTTGTTACTCTAATACTCAGTTGTATTTACTCAATTATTTCTTGTTGTTTAACGTCTCCTCATCTTTCAACTTCTCCTCTGGTTTTTGATGTTAATACTGCATTTATACCTCGGTACTTGCTCGAGCATCGTGCACAGTGAGCGTACTGTATTATTATTTTCTGGTTGAAAAAGGAAGGAGCAACGAAAGAGAGAAAAGAAGAGAAGTGCATTCTCCGTACCGGGCATTTCAGGTGAGTTGCGTGCAGATCGACTTCTTCTTGTTTTTTTTTAAACATTCTTTTTTCGTCTTCTGTACCCCCTCTTCGGTAAGATCTACCGGGTGAATCATTCCCCTTTGGTGATTTCGTCTTCATTTTTTATTGGTTCTGCACTGAGTTTTGCCGCTCTTCTTTACGATAACAATGTTTTTTTTCGATAAAAATGGATAAACGTTTTGCCTCGCCATTTACTCCTCCAGTTTTCCCGGGTATTTTTTGAGCCGAGAAGACGAGGTAAAAATGTAAGAATCTGTGGAGAGGGTGATCGTTGTTTTTACGGAGGATACAAGCTACACTGGAGTCGATTGGGCGAATTGTGTGGGAACCAAATGTAAAAGTCGATGGGTACGTAGGAAAAGGCTATTCCTTGGGTGAGATGGATAACATGAAAACGGGTTTAAGCGTGAAAGTAATTGAGGAAGTTGGACGGGTGCTCACGAACTACCTCGAGGTACGTTAGAACGGACGATCAGGGAATTTGTGATTTTTTTTGTTCAGCTAATATGGATAATGTTGTGGGAGCCATACCGGTGAAATTTGCGAAAGGGAGAATGGGGATAGATGGTTTTTGGATTTAGCTATGGGAATCGGAGATAACGGGCATGTCCAATGTTTAGAAATATAATACCTGACGCGCTGATACAAGGATTCATTTATGATTAATAAACCGATTCGTTTGGGTGTTTCAAGGTCCATTTGTTAATAGTTGATACACAGCCCATTTCAAAGAACCATGAATTCTGAAGAAACATTATTTTTCACAGTTAACTGAGAGTTTTATTGCGACAACTAATGATTCGTTAACTATCAACGAATGTGTGTTTTTCTTAACTTCTTCCTGTCAACTAAATCATTTGGTAGCTGTCGAGAAATATTTATTTGGTGGTATTCAACTCTACCATCCATTAATAGTTTGTGAACCTTGTTCACCATGAATGAATCATTCTAGTCGGTGCGCTGACAAAATCACTAAAATTTAGGATCGAAAAGTCACTGAATCTTAGTGACATGTGTTCTAAATAAGAGGAAGACACATGATAATTCATTTTTGATTAAAAAAGACGGATTGGGATGTTCAGTACATGAAAAAAAAATCATCATATTAATTACAAATTTGCAAAGGATATGTACACTGGTACCTACATTATGTTTTTTTTTCACCTCCTCTACACCGTTAAATATTTTCGACTGAATTTCCTGTGTCAAATGCCGGAATTTTCATCATGCTTAATTTCCACTGAAATTTCAGAAAATCTTGTCATTGAAAAAACAAATATTTCATTGATTTTCTGTTCGAATGGTCTGGAAATCAGTAAAATATTGTATTTTTCAGTTCAGCTATTCCATAAAAAATTGAAAAAACAGGAAAATTCAGGGAAAAATTGAAAATTCATGTCATTTTGTTTCTGAATTTTCATGTTCGATTAAAAATTCAATCAAATTGTGAAATTTCCGTCTCACTCCTACTACAAACTCATGAATTTTCTTGAATTCTACGTAAAACTTGAAATTTCATAATCATTTTTCCTCTAAATCGGATTCAATGTCACTCTCATGAGAATTACTGTTATATTTTCCACGAAATTTCTAAAAATTTCTAACAGTGTAGATTTTGTTTTTAAATTATCAATAATCAAAGATGGTGATGTAGTATTGTGCTCACCACAATTATTATTATTTATTTTTGTCACTCTGGTCGTAAGGCGGCGTTTTAAGCGCGTCTGTCTGCGGCACGCCGCAGGGACACCTGCCAAAAATACTGCCTGCGACCAGAGTGACAAAAAATATTGTTCGACACACGGGCGCAGAAACATTTTCTGACTCATATGATTTGCATCACTCGCCTTCGGCTCGTGCTGGACACTCATATTCGCCAGAAAATTTTTCATGCGTCCTAGTATGAATAGTCGAAATGTACTATTTTTCTTCCGAATGAAAGCTTTGTAATCGTTCAAATGTACGTCTTCAATTTCTTATGTTTGGATAACTAAATGTGGTCCAAAAATCCAAATATGTGATTTTTAGATGGTGTCGGTATGAATGTTCGTTTGTATCTATGTATGTGATCTTTTTTTTCATTTCTTTTCTCGAAACTTTCATATAAGGAATCAATCGATTTTCATGATTTTTTCATAAATATAGACCTCAATAAACTCTATTCATTGACATCAATTAAAATTTAATTTTTCATACAGTTTCGAAAAAATTGATATTTTTCCAAAAATCAATTTTTCAACCGTCACTCACACAAATGGTCATCAAAATAGAATTACTTATGGCTTAAAAAATTGATAACAATACCCTCTTGATTCTATCAGGATATGATGGGGGTCGCACAATTCGTGGTTGAATAACAGGGCATTGTTTATACGATTTGAAAGAGAAAATTCGGTTTTCATGATTACTGAAAGAATCATCAGTAATATCACTTAAATCGGGGCCTGAAAAGTACATTTCAATGTTTTCTTAATCAAGTTGAAAAATGGTGAGAACAGTATCATTGCTTATCAAGTTACACATTACCGTCATGAGCTTTTCATATCAATATCTCCATCTCTATTAGACTCAGGTATGAGTCTATTATGTTGAACACTCATTCATATTGATTCATGGTCCCGACTAACTTCTGACAGAACCTGGGTACCCTGGGAACCCTGGGAACCCTCTTGCTAAATTCCGAATAGACCCTGATTGAATCAAGGCTATGCAATGATTAAACCTTGATTGAACCTTGATTAAACCCAGACTGAAAACGAATTCGAGTCTTGAGAGGGTCTGAATGCAGAAGTATTTGACAGAACGAAATAATATGTAAAATTTTTCTGACATTTCAATTGATGATAGTATTATGACATGAAAAAATAAAAGACAATAGTGAAATAAGTATTAAAAAGAGAGAACTCATTCGGAAACAAATTACTAATTTATTAGCAGCAATTACTATACTCATTTAAAAAAAAATGCCATTGTTCACCTGTTATTACTATTGCACGTTTTTCGAGTGAAATTCTTTAGGCCGCACAATTCCTTAAATTCTTGACAAATTATTTGAAAGTGAATGTGAATACTCCTAAAAATTAGAGCTCTTTCGTATAATTTTCTGTCTAGTTTTTTCTTGTTTAGATAAAGGATAGTATTATTGAAGGCAAACCAAGGAAGTTTGCTCGAAGAAGAAGGGGGATCGACGGTTTTTGGGTTTAGTTATGGGGTTTAGAGATAATGGGCACACGAATGCGCACCGGATATACGCAGGAGGAAGTATTCCACATAAGTCTGATTATCGCAGACTTGAAAACGGTATGGGTTTATCGGAGTAATGAACTCGCTGGGTGAACCGTGAATGATTAACAAAAATGTGGGAATTAATTGGTTAGTGATTTCTCTGGTTTTAAATTTCATCTGTAAATTGGTTAATTAATTTGTATTGGGGTGTTTGATGGAATTTTTGGGACTTGATTACAGACATTTTTCCTTCATTTTAGTACACGGTTAATTTTTATGATAATTGATTCATTATTCGGAGAAAATTTGACGATGTTTTTCAACTTCTCACGTTGAGAATGAAGTACTTGAAAATTTCTTGACTTTTATTTTGCTTTTGGAGTACTTTAGAATAAAGTATCATTTTTTTATGGACTCCATAAAAGCCCGAGTGTTTGAAAGATTTCAGAAGATTCACGTTCTCTTTCATCATTTTCAGAGTTGTTTTGCCGCATATTCCGGTCAGTAGCATCAAATTAGAAGACGACTTTACAACAAAAATCCTTTAAGAAGAAATTGCACGTTTCGTACGCACAATGCGTTACTCTTCGCACCGCGGCGGTGTGACTGTTTATTCTGACAACCAAGAGAAAACAAACATTTCAATTACACATAAAATTTTTGCGTTCCCAACGTCTTGTAATTGCTTGGTAGACGGAAACAGATATTTCTTGTTTCTAACAAATCTTCTTTTGTCACATATCTTACTCCATGAACAAGCTTTATTGTGTTCAAGACATCAAAAGTGAACTTATAAAATCAAAAAATTTTATCTTTACGGATGAAATTTTTGCTGTAAGAAGGAAATTTTTATTCTATACACAACAGACAATAAATATAAACAAACTCTTGTTTAGTACACAGTTAAAAATTTTCGTCTGAATTTTCCGTCAGAAAATCCTAGAAATTTTTATCACATTCAATTTCCTGTGAAATTTCAGCAAATCTTATCATTGAAGAATGAAATATTCCATTGATTTCCTGTTCGAATGATCTGTAAATCAATAAAATACTTGATTTTTCAGGTCAATTATTCCGTAAAAATTCAGGGAAAAATTGAAATTTCATGTGATTTTGTTTTTGAATATTCATGTTCCATTGAAAATTCAATCAAGTTGTGAAATTTCCATCTCACTCCAACTAAAAACTCATGAATTTCCTTGAATTCTGCCTAAAACTTGAAATTGCATAACCATTTTTCCCCTAAATCCGAGTCAATGTCACTGTCATGAGAATTACTATCATATCTTCCATGAAATTTAAAAAACATTGTAACAGGGTATATATCATTTCTCATTTTGGGGAATTTTATCCTTTCCATGTAGGAAATAAAATAGACAGTTTTAGAGTTGATTTACATAAAAAATGGCTGGATCATCTTCAGCTAGGAGATGCCTTTTTAGGGATACAGTACAGCCTCGTTTATCCGAGGTAATATGAGAAAAAAGTACCTCGGATAAGCGAAAACTCGAATAGCACAGAAAAAATACAGAATTCGGAAATTTTAATCATTGTTTATGTATTTGAAATGATATTAGGGGAGGTTGAGGTAAAATGAACACTTTTGACTTCTCTTTAAATATTAGTGACGCGTTGAAATGTTGAGGAAATTCAGTCATTTTTTCTTCAATACAAAGAACAATTCTTTCCCTTTGTGATGAACCTAAACTGAGCAATATTGAATCATTTGTTTCTGAATTATGAATAATTTTTAAAAAGTCGAAAGAATCCACTTTACCCTACCCTCCCCTATAAAATTCAATCACGACTACGACGTTTTTTTTTTGCGACATGGCAATGTTCGTTCATTGATGGTTGAAGGCCGACTGTTAATTTTTAGCTCGCAACCGAAGAGTGCACAAAACGTGCTGTAACAAGTTTATGCGGCTCCATCCGTTTTATCCGAGTTTTTCCGTATTATCCGAGCAAGTTCGTTGCCTCGGATAACGCAGGGGCTCGGTTGATCGAAGGCCGGATAAACAAGGTTGTAATGTAATTCGCACCAAAAATAAGTGTGATTAAATAACACTAATTAAATTAAAGCCTTAGTAAAAAAATAAAAAAATGCCAATATCTCGAAAACTTTGTGTGAATGGGTATTCATATTTCGATTTATCTCGACAGAAGACTGCAAGACGAGTACTTTGAAGAAAAAAAAATTGAAAACCGACAGTAGTTTCAGAGATAATGAGCGTTTTCTCATTTACTTGTAAACGAAAAAGTCTTCGTTTTATTTGTAAACGAACAAGGCACAGTTCGGCCACTCGCTGAACGTAACATCACTGTCAAAATAGTATATTTCATTACGAACAATATTTTTCATCACAATGCGGCGGAAATTGGACTTTTAGGCACGCGGAGCGTGCCGAAAAGTTCACTTTTCGTCACAGCGTGATGAAAAATATTGTTCGACACACGTGAGATGGGAATTTTCAGCTCGTGTGATTGGCAGCCCTCGGCTTCGACTCGGGTCCCCAATTTCACATTCATGAAAATTCCGTCTCACTCGTATTGAAATATACTATTTTAACGGTGATGTTACGTTCAAAGAGTGGCCGAACTGTGCCTTTTTCGTTAAGGTAAACAATAGTATATTTCGATACAAGTGCTGCATATATATATTTCGATAAAACACCCCGTCGCACGTGTATCCGAACTATATTTTTCATCACGCTGTGACGAAAAGTGAACTTTTCGGCACGCTCCGCGTGCCTAAAAGTCCAATTTCCGCCACATTGTGATGAAAAATATTGTTCGTAACTCGTGAAAAAATGTTTTTTAGCTCGTTACGAAATATACTATTTTGTTAGTGATGTTACGTTCAGCGAGTGCCGAACTGTGGCATTTTTCGTTTACTAGTAAACGAAAAGACACTTTTCTACACGGGCTGACAAAAAAATACTTTTCGTTTACTTTTCGTTTAAGAGTTTACGAAAATGCACTTTTCGGCACCTCGATCCGCCATCTTCACACGCGTGAAAAGTCCGTCTCATTCGTATCGAAATATACTGTTCTATTGGATAAGTAACTGCTAGAATATTGAAGGACCTGAAAATTCTGTCAGATGACATTTTCTTCTAGAACCACTTGTCGTCAACATATTTGCATAATTAACCAAACTGTCATGTTTACCTTGACACAGCTTCACCCGTTTAAAATACCATTCGTTAATTAATTGTAATTTCCCCTCCTCTCACACGATTCCCCACCTGTCTTCTAGACTGAATCATCCAAATACTAAGTCCCTGACAATTCTTTCAAATGTCCAAACATGCGAAAGATAATGTTTTCGCATTTTTTACAAAGTTATCGCGAAATTTTTCATCTTCTCTGGAATTGGCATTATTACTATTATTCATCATAATACCACGAGACCTTATTTGTTGGAAATTGTTCCAGTTACAGGAAAGGCTCTTTGACATTCTCCTCTGAGATCACTCATTGTACGAGATATTTACATGACTTCTTCATTTCATCACTCAAATAATTTTTTCCTGAATCACAACTTATGGATCCGAAGAAAGAAAAGTTCAAGTTTTTGGGGTCATATCGTTAACCCTACTCTGGTCACCTTGCGTGACCCAGCGACTCGGTCACCTCCGCGGGAATGTGCCGCCTGGTTATTTAGGCTTTAACGTTGCTGGATTTACTCTACACTGCCCGGGCGCGTTTAGCGAGTTTCCGGCAACGTTGCGTGACGAGTCATTTCATTTAAGGGGTAACAAAAGGCCACCGTTTCCTCAAAATCTTAAAACAAATTTCCTGCTCAAAGTCATTCATATTTTTTTAACCCAAAGCACATTGATCTTCATCATCGCCTCCTGGAGATTAATGTGCTTGGATTTGTAAAAATATCGATAACTGTCAGCAGGAAATTTCTTCAAAAATTTGGAAAATTAGCGACATTCTGTTACCCTTAAGGTACTTCCTCAGTGAGTTATACTTGGTGAAAATTTCGCAATGAACTGAAGACCTAAAATTTGCATCATATGTTGTTGAGCACATTTGAAAACGATTCCCAAAATTTCAAGTATTTTTCCCACGCGAATTTTTGAGATATGCATCGACAAAAAGATGAAAAAGACAAAAATTGAATGTTTGACGATGGATGTCTCAAAAATTCGCGTAGAGAAAATACTTGAAATTTTGGGAAATGTTTTCAAATGTGCTTAACAACATATGATCCAAATTTTAGGTCTTCAGTTCATTGCGAAATTTTCACCAAGTATAACTCACTGAGGAAGTACCTTAAGGGGCATGGCTAGCTTTGGAACTTGAAAACATTTTGTTTTGTTCATAGTTTTATAGTGTAGAGTTTTATCTTCACTTATAAATCCCATTTTTGTGAAAATTCCAAAAATGGGCAGAGTTGTGACGATTCTCGTGAAGGATCGTACCGCCTGATGTGCTGTAGCGAAATGTTTTCTTTTGTATTTTTCTCGAATCTATGTTTTCTGATACGGTGAGCGTCGAATCTCGGAATCTATTCATCCGCTTCACTTCATCTCTGGATAGACGATAGTTACTATCATTTTCCTTCAAACCATCGGATGGTTTTCCAATATGTTTATCCATTTGTTAATAACAAATTCTTCAAGTAGTTTTTTTGTCGAAAATCGACTTTTTTCAACAGTTAATCATTTTCATAATTTTTTAAATTTCCGGCAAAGTTTATATAATAAAATCATTGTAAAATATACGGAAACTTGGGGTCGAATGGGGCTCAAATGAAAGTAGAAAGTACAAAGTGCAAAGTACTCGGATATGCTCAAATTGGATAAATTGGATATGCTTAAATAAATGAGATAATTTTTTTTTCTTCTGGAATTTTGGGAATTATGTTGTTCTGAAACCGCCAAAATGTGTTATACACTTCAATTGAAAAAGTCAATTTTTTTTTCAATTTTTCCGTTTATCCAGTCAATGATACTTGACGAAAAACGACGCGCTGCGGTGTTTCCCTCATATGGTGAACAGTAACTAGGGTTAATTTTCAGAGATCTGTCTCCAACCTTTAGGGATAGTTGACACTGCACTGCAAATTGTTTACAAATTTACGCAGGACTTTAATACTGGTCCTCTGATTAGGCATTTTCTAAAACTCTCCTAAACTTTGATTTTAAGGGACTAATAATTAAAAATGGTGACGCAGTGTTGTGTTCACCACAATCGCCACAACGGTCCGTTTTCAGTTTTTCCAGATGAAATTCTTCATGCAAACAATATATGCAGATAATATGTGACATATATGCGAGACAGATATATGTGTCTACATATATCTCGTATGTACGTTGCATATTGCATTTTGGCCGAAAATATATATGTATATAATTGACATATATTTCATAGATATTTTTTTTCATATACGCGGCATACTTCAGTTGTCGGAAGGGCAGGTACTGAATTTCAAACGAAATAATCCGCTGAAATAAGGGCGATAAATATGGTGATAAATATTCATCTTTTAATTGAAAACTCAAGTCAATTGGTTAACTTCTCAGCTTTCTGCAGCTCTAAAATTTTAAATTCCATTGAATTTTCAATGCAATTTGAAATTTCATTTTTTTCATCCCATTGCATCTAATTCAATATTGCTCTCGTGAAAATTACTACTCAACTGTCAATGAGATTGATTTTTTAACCGTGTAATGACAAATTCACTGCATTCATGAACTGCATTCACGGATTGCCAAAAATTAGTGATATATTGAAAAAAAGCTACAAATCTTTTCTCTGTGGAATCAAAAAGCCAAAAATAATGATTTTCCTTTATTTCTTGGTATTTCTCAAATGAATAAACAAAGAAAACGTATTTTGTTGCAGTTGAGCGATGGCCTTGAGGCTTCGCACCAGCAAAGATGTCAAGAAAAGTTCCTACTACGTATGGTACCTTGGTGCTAGGGAAGCAAAAGGGGTGGATGCAATGCCCGGTGCCATAGCGTATCTCCTCGAGCGTGAACGACTTCAAGAGCCTTTCAAGGTCACACTCCAGGTAAAACAGTTATCATAACGCCCACAAATGGTCAACCACCGAATAAGAGTTCAAGAGTGCTATTTTTAGAATTTATATCTGCCCATCTTTGAGTCATTAACGAGCTAAATAGAGCCGGTTTCACACCAGTGCAAGGCATCCTCACTTTACATAAAAACAATAAACCTTTCGTCTTTATACGGGAGATTCAATCCTGATGCCTCCCTTATCGCATTCTAATTTTGTCGCCATTTATTTTTTTATTTTATATTCAATGTTCGTTAAAACGTTTGGAAAGTCTAATCAAAGATTTTCTGGGTCCATTACGGCTATTTATGGTTGATGCTGATATTGTGAAATGTTCGAACGGGTTTTACAGAATTCCTTTCATCTGTGATGTCTGAATCTGGTAGATCATATTTATATTTGAGAGTGGTTTTTCATTTTTCCTTTTGTTGCAATTTTAATAACAAATTTGTTTGGAGAATAAGGAACTTGGAATAATAGGTTAAAGAATGATAAGATAAAGAAGGAAAAGTGTGATTTAGATCTCAACCTTTTGATTCCTGCTGCCTTATCACCTTGTAATCGTATCTTTAGTTTAGATACTTTGTAATTTATTTTCTAGCACAGGTTGTTTTTACTAACCTGGTGTAAAAAATGAAATAAAAGGAGCGAAATTTATCTATTACGTCGGTTTGAACCCTCACTTATACAAGACATGTATTGTCTAAATAAATAAATGAATGACATTGAAATTGAAGTCAATGATAAAATTTTCAGTCTAAGGATATCATAAAAACCTAAGAGCCTCAGGAATGTTTCAGATCATTAAAACTGCGAATTATTATATTTTTATTGCGAAAGTTATGGTTTATTGGAAGCAGACTTCATGATCATTGTCTTGAACTAATAATTACTCATGTGATTGAAGTTGCGTTTCAGCAAGGTTCGCAACATTTCACGCATTGCTTAATATTGTTCGTCAATGTGGAAAAGTGAATCTTGAGAGGGAGCTTATATCAGTCGCTGCAGGCTACTGTCGACAATGTGTGATGAAAAAAGTTCATTTGGAGGAAATATTCGGCAATGCCACTCGTTTCTTCAGAAAGCGATTTCCTAATCACTTTCAAGTTCACATTTTTCCGAACTTTCATCGCCTACTCCATGATAGAAAAAAATAGTGAAAGTAGTGACAGAAAGCGAAATTATTATCTTTTTTTCAAATTATTGAGGCCAGTTTTAAAAATGAAATGGTGACGATTATCTTGGATATTCTATTTTTTTCAATTAATTTTGCTTTTCTTGCCCTGACGACGCTTTCGGACAATCAAAAAAAATATGTGTCTGATTACAGTTAGTAATAGAATCTTTCACTTTGAATTTTAAATGAAAATTCCTGTAATATTTAACAACTTATCTATGGAAAATTTCAACACCTTATATTTTTCTTAAATCATCAATTTTCGAGCACTTCAGTGAAAGATTTGATTTCGAAATCATGAGATTATCAAAATCCTTGAAACTTGTGAGAAATGGATTGTCTATAGTTCTCAGTTTCCTATTTCTTATTATAAATTTCTAAATTCAAATTATCAAATTATTATAAATTAAAATAAATCAGAAATCTAGGGATAATTTGATTTTCAATACATTTCAAAGGCACATGGAAAATTGACATGCAGTTTTCAATTATATTTCTATGAACTTCTAACATCAAAAGGCTTCATCATGTTATTTGGTGTTACCTTGAGAAGCCATACCGAAAAAATCGATTAATTGAAGAAATAAAACGAGTATTTTGAAAAAAAAATGAAAATAAATGGGACCAGTAGTTTGGGAGATATTGAACAAAACTGTCTTTCACAAAAAGTTGAATATCTTCTAAACCGCTTGTTCGATTTCGCAATATCCACAATCCCATCCTGTAATACCATAAGAGCTACAATCTCACCAAATTTCAACATCCTATATGTAAATTTTTTCGGGAGTTATGATGCCCAGAGCGATTTTCACATAAAAACGAATAATGCCTATTATTACCAAACTGTCCCTAGCTACATAGCAATATTGTGAGTTCAGTTGATAGATATTATCACAAGGAACTAGGGGACTATGCCCCCTACTCGCTCCGCTCTCCAACCACCATATGACTCCTATGATCCTTATTCTGACCCTTGTGACCTTTAGTTTCTGACCCCCAAGACCGTCAATCTGATCTGTATGATCCTCAATCTGCCTGTTGTGACCCTGATTTAGATCCTTAATCGGACCCTCACAACAACTCTCGTGACCCTTATGTTGACCCTGGTGACCCTTAGTTTCTGACCCTCGGCTTTTGACTCGCATATCTCTTACTTGGACCCTTACTCTGACCTTTAATCTGATCCTTGTGATACTTATTTAGACTCTTAATCTGACCCTTGTGACCCCTAACCTGACCCATATAACCCTTAATCTGATTCTTGTGACCCTTATTTGACCCTTGCGGCCCTTATTTTGACCCTCATGACCCTTATTTTGACTCTCGTGATCCTTATTCTGACCCTCGTAACCCTTATTCTAACTCTCATGACTCTTAATTTCGGAGTCGTAATTTCGAGTTCCAAATTTTTATCACCAGAAGGCAATTTAAATTTTTCTCATATAGAGAGATATTTTGACGTCAAAAAATTTAATTCAGTCGCGTAGATAGTCGCGTAGTTCGTCGAGATATTGAGGAAAAAAGATTTTTGAGAAATTTCGGTATCCCGGTAACTACTTCACCGATTGAGCTGAGATTGCGCCCAGAAGTGCTCCAAAGCAATACCAATTGTGTGACGTAATTTCAGATTTTTAGCTTCAACTTTATTCCATTTTCTGGGAAGATCTATAAAAATTTTCCGAAAAATTCGCACACACATTTCAACATATAATACATACACACATTTTGCAAAAACATCATATCTTCACGTTTCATGACATTCTACGTAATTTCAGGCAAAATTAGAAGATCGTTAAAATCAAAGACTATAAAGCTTTCATTCGAAAGCAAAATCTGTAAATATATTTGGACCTCATAAGGACCGAACTTAGGGAAAACCTTCCGAATGAATATGTGATGAAAATACGCGAAAAAAACCGAAGAGAATCGCTTATTTCAGAGTTTACCAGTTTGGGTACCTGGACTGCATATTCATAAAGCATATCAAATGAAATAAGCGTGAGTTTAAGAGTTTGATCGAGTATCAATAGAGTTAAGTGCTTTTGAAGTGCTGACATGCGTTAAATTCCACTATAGTCATAAATTTCGAGAAGTAGGTAGAATTGGATGATTTAGGTTGTGAGAATATGCAATTATATTCTTGAAATATCACTCGTAACCTTTACTTGTTAATGGATTTCACGAGATCGGAGATAATTCCTTATCGGCGATACCACTATAAATCAACAATCAACAATCAATAATCTCAAATTGACACATTGACAGGCATGAATAATTTTTTAAATACGATAACTTCTGATGGATATTTGAACAGTTAACTTGTTCGATTATCCAACGTCCCATTGCACTGAACCTCAATTTCCTTTCAAGGTCTTGTTAAGGTCCCTTAACAAGACCTTAAGTGTTATTTTTTTAATAATTGACAAATTACGCATTCAATTTTTAGAAAACTTTCATGTCGCACACGGTTGAAAAAAATTTTGAATTAAAAAAATTAATAATAATGGAACAACAAATGTAAATTTCGGTTCAATAATTACCAGAAAATTAATAGAAAACAGGGAAATTTAGGTGAATGCATGGTTGAATTTTTGAATTAATGGGAAATCCAGCATAATTTCAGACTAAATATTCATTTTTCCATTGAAAACAAAAAAAAGTTGGGAAATTTCGTCTTCTAACTGCTCAAAATTTGTTTAAGTCTGTGAATTATTAGTAAGCTATCTGTGAAATTCGTAATTTCATTATTTTTTGCCCTAGATCATATGGTCTTGAACATTTTAGTGCAAAAAATAAAGCATTATTTGTCATAGTAAATACCAAAATGCGTATCTATGTATACATATTTTATTTCAATATAGAAAATGCAAAAGTCAATTCCGTTAAATTCATAAAAAGACTTTGAGAATGTCGCCTTCTTCTTGAAAGTTCTATTTTTCAAAAAAATAATCTTAATTTACAGGAAAATCCAAACGAAAATTTTCCCTGGCACAATTTTTTTGCAAAAACTTGTTTTTTTTTAGGGACACGACAATTATGTCAAACAACGCAATTTTTACGTGATTTCCACGGCACTTTTTCCGCATTTTTTTCTACGTGCAAAAAATTGTATATTTCGATACGAGTGAGACGGAATTTTCATGAGTATAAAGTTGGAGGCCCGAGGCGAAACCAAGGGCTGCCAATCACACGAGCTGAAAATTTCCGTCTCACATGTGTCGAACAATATTTTTTGTCATTCCGGCCGTTATAACAAAAAATATCTTTCGTCACATGGCCTAAAAAAACTTTTCTAGCACATATGATTGCAACCCTCGCCCTCGGCTTGGGCTGCAAACTCATATTCACCAGAAAAGTTTTTTTCAGCCTAATGACGAAATATACTATTTTGACAGGGGTGTCACGTTCAACGAGAGGCCGAACTGTGCCTTTTTCATTTACATGTAAATGAAACTGAAGACTTTTTCGTTACCCGAGCGAAGCGAAGTTAGAATCGCGGTTTTCGGTCCCAATCGCAAAAAAAATGGTTCGACACACGGCCGTGAAGAACTTTTCTGCCTCATATGATTACAGAACTCGCCTTCGGCTCGTCCTGTAACCTCATATTCGCCAGAAAAGTTCCTCACGGCCTAGTGTCGAAATTACGAGTAAACGAAAAATACTTTTCGGCACGAGATGATTGTAGCAGCAGTGTGAAAATAACTATTTATGGCACGCCGTGCAATAAGTCGAGTTTATCGCACGCTGCGCTTCGCGCAGCGTGCTTCAAGCTCGACTTCTGCACGATGTGGCATAAAATGGTATAGACCACTCGGGC